TAACATATTTTTATTTTGTATTGAAAGCAACACAACTATTTAGCTTAAATGTTTAACATTCTCATTAAGTATATGTTTTCCTTTTCTTTTTATATGTTTCTTACACAATATTTTTTTATTTGTGTAAGCTTTAATTACATTTTACCTAATTTAAGCTTTAATATACTTTTTTTTTTAACAATTTGTTGATGTCTAATGAAAAAGAACTTAATTTTAATCGAAATAAAATTCATTTAATTTTCTTTCAGGTTTTTCTTGACACTTTTTGTGTTCATCTAATTTGTTTTCTGCTTTTCTATAAACATGGTTTATGATTGGGCTGCATTGGGTCGTTCACTAAGTAATTTTATTTTGCTATGACTGATTTATATATATATATATTAGGGGCTTCATTTCGACAAGAAACTTTAAAACCGACATAAAACCGTCTTAGTCTTTACTAAGACTGGTTATTCAAAAAAGTGAGTATGAACAGTGTTATAAAATATGTGAGTATATACTGGTGTGATTGTGTAAAGCATATGATGAAATTATGTATGTATTCTTCATTTTGATTTAATACCTTTTGCCTGCTTTCGGGCAAGAGTTGTATTCCACACTCATAATTTCGGTTATCCTTGCAAACACAAAACTGGTCGAACTGTTTTTTGAGGTCCTGATTTGAGGTGAAAGTTCTTCTAGATCGAAATTTAGCAGAGACAGGAGATTCTGTTAGCATTCAACCTTGCATACTTTTAGCGTGTCGTCAAACTTGTATAAGGTCTCGCATTATTCTGTTGGAGAACTCCACATTTTCTACCAATGAATTCTGAACTTGTCCAGCCGATCACAATCCTTCAAATCGAAACTATTGCAAAATATTTAAATAAAATTTTCAATAAACAAGGCTTACTAAATATATCAGCTGTTCAAGGCTCTTAGGTGCAAGAAAAATAAAAAATCAATTAGATCAGCAGCTGACAGGAAACGAAATTACTTAATGAATTGCCCAATTTGAGAGCAGCATTTGCTATAAAGCGCATGACCATAGAACTGTAACAAATTATATTCACAACTTATAAAAAGGTATATATGTATATGTATATAAGGTGCATCAATATATTAGTACACACACACACATCTCTCATGTATATATTTCTATATATTTTGTTACTTTAATTTAAATCATTTTCGATATGTTCTTGCTGTTGTTTTTGTTTTAACAATATATTTAGTTGTATATGATTTCGTTTATGTTTGAGGTGTGCGTGTGTGGGTGTGTTTGTGTGTGTCATCAGCGTTTAACGCACAAATATATGTATGTATATAAGTGAGTATGTATATGTCATTATATAATTATTTTAACATTATTCAACTTGAGTACATCAAATTGATATTTTCTCTTTCTCTTAATTTTTGTTCTTTTTCGTTTATTAAGCACAGCATTAAAGCAAAATTAAATTGCAATCGATTTACCCTTGTGAAAGTTCATATAATTGTAACTTTACATATATATTATTT